TTTTTTTTTATATTATCTTTGATATTACAATTGGAATTGAAAATATAGTTTTTCGCGTTTGCTGCAAAACCGGCAATGATAATTAGGTTTCACTTTGGAAATAAACAACTCATATATAGTAGGATTACTTTGTCGACACCATGTTAAATTAACGCATGTGAATTTGCTTAATGTAAACTTTTGATTATGATTATTCTTTACTGTAAAATGTACATATTTAACAAAGCTATAAATTCGTAATAATTACATTACTGATTTCGGTCTTTCAGATTCGACGTACCTGTACAAAGTGGGCCTTATGGTGAACTGTGTTATTTTTTATATTAAAAATTTGATTTTTCACATTCCTTACTTTGTTATGAAGCCGACGATTAATCGACTGTTAATGGTGCCGATGATTAATCGACGATTAATCCTCTGTATTATATTCGAATATCTTTTTTTTTCAGGTTTTGTGTTGTATTGGTTTCACCTAAACATACCTGTATATTGTATATAGGGATTATTTTAGTATAGTTCAGTATTATTATTTATATGGTGAGAGATATGGAATGTGAGGAAAAGAATATGTATATATATATATATATATATATATATGTACATACATATTTATGTGTGATTTAAGTATAATTAAGTGCTATGTCCGAAAAAGTATTGATGAGTATGCTGTGTATCGAGTAATCTTATATAATAGGGCAGCACTGCTTTAAATAAAGTATTTCTCTCTCTTTATGTAGTCTATTTTTTTTTTTTTTTTTTCGATGGCGTTCTATAACTGATTTATATTTGAACTTGAACAAAACTAACTTATGACATATTCTCGCCTGTTATTGTAGGGAACAATGAGAAGGGTCCACAGATGACTCATAGACAGCAATCAGATACCGGATCCCAATAACTAAGAGAGGGCGCAGAGACTGTTATGTTTGACGGCACAAGCTAATAACGACCACGCCTTGTATAGAACAGAAATTGCATCTTCGAGGTCGCCGATAGGAAATCTTGGAGGCAACTAATCGGCGAATCCATGGAACGCAGAATTACCGCGACTCATCAAGGACGATAAAGTCCGAGGGCGTTGCCCTGGTGTCGATAACTCCAGAAAGAGTGGAAGGAAACATTGTGCGTCAAACAAAAGAAAAGTTTTGTAATTTATGCATAATTATCCTTGATTATAGTCGAAGTAATTTTGAATATTCTACATTATTAAATCTACTTTCCGATTTCAAACCAAAAAAAACTTACTGTTCCAGCTAAATAAATAAATGATTATATTTTTTGTAGAGTAAGTAAACAAAAAAGTAATGTTATTAATTGATTGATGAGGAAAAATCTAAAGAAAAAAAAATTTGGGTATACCATTTAATAAAAAATTGATGTTCAGTTAATGAAGGAGCACTCAACGAAGTTGAGAACTCAACTTCTCATAAATTATGATTTTCAATCTATTTCAAAACTTCAGTGCTCCCCATCAAATAGGTGTTATACATAAATATATTAAATTAAATTTTGCATTCTCTAAACGATAAGCTTCAATAATAATTTACCAAAAGTGGATATATTAGCTTTAATTAAATTTCTTCTCACTTATACGTAGTACTCAAATAATTATTTTAATTTTATATTGTAGTTTGAGTGATATAAAATTATGACTGTGTTGATTTTATCAGTGCCTTTTAAATCATATCAATTTTTATTTTTATTTAAATGAATATACTGATAGGTATATAATCCCGTTTTGAATTTTCTCCTTATCTGGGTAGGTTTCTCTGATAAATTGTTATTTAACAGAACCTAAGTCCGTTACAACCTGATGAAATCCGACATCACTATTATAATGTTGAACTTCAATGAATAATATCGAGGGTCATAGCATTGAAACTTCAGAAACAAATACAATGATATATATATATATATATATATATATATATATATATATATATAAACAACTTCAATTTAACTTTTAATTCCAATAGTAACAGAATTTTTCATTATATCTAATTATAATTAAATAAATTAAATTATAAGATGCTTCATTATTCATGATTCTCAAAGAATTTACCTTTTTGTCAAAGAATATTGTTGGAAATTTATTTTGTCTGAAACATACTTTTCAATGATTTTAGAAACTGTTAATTAAGTTGATGCTTGATGTGGCAACTTCTTTTGCCTTCCAGTAGACGTTAGATTGTACTTCTACATCTGGAAAATAAAAATAATACTATTAAAGTTTACATAAAACGTAGCAATGTATAAATTTATATAATTTAAAATTATATTTCAATCATATTTATGAAGAAGAAGAAAAAGTGCATTAAATTTTATTGTGGGACATTTAGTCCCCATTTAGAAGTAATATTTTACAGGCGAAAAATGACAGTCAAGAAGTAATTAAACAACAGAGTTATGTAACCCTTAAATTAGAATAAAGGATTTGCATAAGACAACTAATGAAATTATTGATAAATAGATATCTTTATGTTTACATATTTGCACTGGTAAGCAATATAGATAATAATTGTGAAACAAATATGAAATGAGCCTGGCAATACTAAAATACCAAAGTTTATTGCTTAAATATATTCGGAAGATTTATTGCTACCTTGATAGAATAATTGGTGGATAAGAAATTCCAGTACAAGGTAGTACGGATCATATATAGGTTTTTAGGCAGGAATCTCGTGTTATCGTTATGTTTTTATGATAATTATTTTTAAATAAATTCATAATTTGTTAAAAGAATAATTTAAAAAAATTCTACAAGTCTAGCAGTTACTAATTTCTCAACTTTTCGACAATACTTATCAGTTACCATAATCTGTATCGTTGAGTTTGCCAATATACTTTATTTGATTGTTCTTCGAAATAGAGGTGAAATATTTCACTTCACAATTGTAGGGGTTTCAATAAATTATTTTGGATAGGTCAGTTTCAGAGCAAATGTTTAAACCGAAAATACTGAAGTACTTTCCTTTCGATTAAACATAGTTCTACATTCAAAGATGTAATACTGTAATCCAAACCAGATTAATTTATGTTATTGTATAGCTCGATTCTTAGGCGAGAACCAATGATTACTACTCTAAAAACGGGCTGTCCTGAACAGTTTTAAAGGAAGAAGGGACGAAATCTTCGTCCTCTTTTGCCCCGAGGATTGCTGTTATTATCGACAAAGAGGATGATTTAGTGGAATAGCAGATTGGTACACTGGACCGGGCAGGAGTGGCGCAACCCAGGCCAAACAGGTTTGGGTTCTAATCTCGCCGCTTGATAAAGTCGGTGTGAACATCCACGAGTAATTCTACCTCATACAGTTTATGCAGTGGGTACAAGTCTTGTGTTGGTGTCATCTTACATGGGTCAAAGCACGGGTCATATAGCAGCTATGTCTGTTGATAATCGAATCTGTTTCAAAAGTATTTTGTATAATTCAAATAACCATCTACATATTCCAACTGATGATAAAATTATTGATTATTATAATTTTTATGTTTTATTAACATGATGAAACCTTTAATTACAAAAATTATAAAGCAGTTTCAATATTATATATAAGCTGTTAATGTAAACTAATAAATCATTTGTTTTTATGGTTTTTCATTTTTGTAGGATCACTATTGAATTTTCTACTAACTAACGTTTTCTTAATCAAATTTAAACCAAGGTTTTAAATATACCAAAATATTCTAACAACACATTTTTGCTAAGATTTTTTTTTTTTTTTTAATATTATTTTAAAGTTATTCAATTTTGCGACGTTTCGGCCTATAAACCATTTCCAAATATTTAATTTCATTATGTTGAACAGTCAAAATTCAACAAAGTATCTATACCATTCACCGTATATTGTAAAGATAAAAAATAAAATAATGTTGTTTTTTTGACAAAATATAGATTCTTTTATTTTTGTCAAATGATTTATTTTTTGAAAACTTCATTTACTTTAGCAAAGAAATACACTGATTAGTTTTTATTAATTATAAAATTCTTATAAAAGTTATTTGACTTTTTATATAAAGAGAAATTTTGCATTTCACAACATTTATAATTTTCACCTCTTATCTCTCTTTTTCTAAAAATAATTTATAAACTTTCGGTGTCATTTTTTTTTACTTTAGTTTCATCTGTCAATTTAATTGCTTTATTCATAAAATTTTTAATATTATTTTCATTTTCATGTGGTTGATTGGCTTAAATAGTAAATCAATATTTTGGTTTTTTTTTTGTTTTGTTTTTTTGTACATTCTGTAGTTAATTGTTATCTATTTCTTTTGTGAATTTTATTCATTTTTTAATTTAATGTGTTTTTTATCTAATCTAAATAAATAAATGGGGGGAGGAAACTTTCAATTAAAATCAATTAAATTATGAATTTAATTTTTCATATTATGAATTGTTGAATGAAATGAAAATAATAAACTACCAAAATTAATAAGTAGCAATAATTTTAATAAAAATATATCAATTAAAAATACTAGATGTCGTAAACATTTTTTTAATCTTATTTTTAAGACTGTGTCGAGTGGTATATAACATACATGTTATTTTGAATATTGACTGTTGAACAACATAAATTTTTTATGTTACGACTAATAGGCACAAAATTGTAAATATGATAAAACACACACACACACACAAAATGATTCCATCTGTTTGAGAATAATTTGGTCTAATTTTTATGAACAAATGTGATTTTTTTTTTAAATATAACCTGTGTTAAAATAAAAAAAAAATTATTAAACCTTTCTAGACTTACTCCAACAATTTATATCTAAATCTCTAACGCAGTTCTATATTTGGACATCATTAACAATGTGTTCCCATATGAAGCACATGAGCTTCTAACTGGATACAGAGATGTCAAAGGAGATACTGTCCTCAACGAAGTTCAGGGACTTAAATAAGTGCTAAGTCCCGTTTGGAGGCTAGCAGAGGCGAAGAATTCCTTGTTGCTTAACCTTTCGGGCTATCTTTACATTCCGCTGCGTTAAGTGCTCCTCATGACTTTCTTAAGGTCTCACTCATCCTTTCTACAGCAACGGGTATTTCTTTTTAGCGGCGAGGAAATTTTTCTTTTTCCTAAAACAGAAAATATAAAAAATAAACAAACTGTGGATTCCGTTAGGTAAGATTATTACTTCAATAAAATACAAATAAAGGATTAACATGTGTATTATGGAGAGAACATTAAATTTCGAGAAGATATCGTTGACAACAGATGGAAAATATATATTAAAATAGATTTTTTCATAAAATTTAACATTTAATGAACGTAATTGTATAGTTAATTCGTTATTCTCGATCTCTTCATATTAGTTTACACATACATGTATTCTTATAAAACGATTTTTTTTTTTTTTTTTTTTTAGTGGAATTAATTTTATAAATGCTAATATTTTTTTACCTCACTCTGCATAAAAAATGAAGTTTGTAATTCTAAGTGTTCTAAAAACAAGAGAGGGCGATTTCTTTTGTATTTTATTAAGAAAACAGAATAATCTCAGAAAGTGACATATTTACAAACTTACTTGTACAAAAAAAAAAAAAAAAAAGAAAGAAATTAAGAGTCGAGGTTAGAGTACAAGTCGGAAGAAATGTATTTTTTATTCATGAAAATAGTTCTGTATTTGAATTTAAGTTGAAGATTTGAATTTCAAATTGAGATTCCGTTATAACAATTCAAATTTTGATAACAGTTGGATTCATTTTAAATATTGAGAAAAAAAAATGTTAAAATGTTAAAAAGGAATCGTATTTGTAATTTATATTTATTTTCTATAGTTCGTTTCACTTTATATGGTGTTTGATCTTGCCCATTTTCGAAGGTTTTGGTTCAGTTAGAATTTCTGACAGAAGTATATCGTGGGTTTTTTAACATAATAAGTAACATTAGTAATTTAAAATCAGTAAAGTTGTAGTAAGTAAGGTGCTATAAAATTAAAACACTAATTACTTTGATGACGAATTTCTGTATTTTATTTACTTTTAACTCTAAGCTACATTTCTTTGGTTTATTATAGCTTTTGTTATATAGATGTATATTTTTAAATTTATTTTATTGTATTGTATATATGGTATGGATGTGCCTCACTCAGTTTTAGTGTCCAGTTCCCTTAAGTGTGACGAAATGTATTATTTCTCAACAAGATCTTTAAAAAAAAAAAAATTACTTTGATGAATTTTCTTTCTGTGAACGTTGTCTACTTGTAATTATTTATGACATATAAACTATTTTGTGCAGTTTCGATGCACTTACTATTTTGTTTATTGATAAAAAAGGTTAAAATAATACATATATATATATATAAACGTAAAAGTTTAACTCCACTAACAGCGTACTTAATGACTTTTTGTATTAACTTAACGATATTGTTTTTTTGGATGTCCTTAAGTTTTCAATCTAAAAAAAAATGTACTATAATGGTGCAATAATTAGTACACTATACATTTATGTAAAATTTAATAACAAACATAATATATAGCGTTATATGTTACTATGTGTTATACGTTTCCTTTGAAATACTGCCCATTGAAGATGGTTACTGATCAGAGACATTGAACCTGATAAATTAATAACAGTGGGTTTCTTATGTAAGGAGATGATGATCACTATCGGGTTAAATGACTCACTTAAATTGAGATAGCAGATACTCTTCCATTCATTCACTAGGACCGAAAATATCTGAATGAAACTTATCGGCCTATAAATACTCGTTAAGACAAAGGCCATAAATTATACCAGGACCTTTTGAAGACACGCCTTTCAACTTTGAAAGCCTAGTTAAAGTATTATGTATTTATACCTTCAAGGAAGTAATAAATAAAACCGCTACAAATGTAATAAAATGTATAGCTATACACCTTTATTTATACACATAAGCTCGTTAATAGTTTGTATGTCAATATATTTAATTAGCTTTTAAATGTGACATTAAAGAAAATAAAAAAAATCATGTTGATTCTCTTAATTTTTTTCTTCGATTAATAAAAAACAATAATTATAGAATGCTTAAAATCAAATATATTTTTATTTTAAAAAATATGCATAAATTTATCATCAAATATACCGTAAATTTTATGTAAATATATTTCTTTACAAAAAAACTTATTTCCTTTATAATGAAAAAATAAATAAAGTGACATAATCCTACTCTTTTAGGTTTTTAATAATATATAGATATTTTTTTTTAATTTATTCACTTAGCCTCTACCCTTTGCTTAGCCTCTGCCATTGGCTTAATGTTTCCATTTTATATTCTTTGATAAAAGTCAACATCTTTTGAATATTTGAGCAGTTCTCCTATTTCCTTTTCCTCATCTTGCAGAATTTCTTTCATTTCCGTTCCATTTGTAAATTTTTCTTTATATCAGTGTATCTTCTACATTGTAATAATATATGCTTTGCTGTTCTGAGTACTAGACAATGTGTGCAGGTTGGGGCTTCTAATCCTCGCGTGAGGTATTCATAGGAAAACTCACTGTATCCGGTTCTTAGGAGACATGGTGTATCATTTCTTCTCGTCTAGACGTTCGGTTTGATGTGTTCCATTTTATACATTTTTTTTTAATTCTTGCAGCTTTGCCGAACTCATTTCCCATTCACTGATCCATTTATTTTGAAAGGAGGAGGCAAGTTGGTGTATCCAATCTTCTCGAGGAATGGTCTCAATTATTGTGGTTTGTGCAGTTCCTTGATGCCGAGTGGATATTATATTATTTATATATGGATATTACATTATTTGTCAATATTAAAAAAAATACTTGTATACGTTAATTGGATAAAAATAAAATACATTCTATGAAGGCAGGAGACATAATCCAAAAATTCCCAGCCTATCAGTGTACCACCAGCAGTTAATGGACTTGATAACCATACAATGTCAGTCTATCCTTTATCTGGCATTCTGACAGTCCCGCATTCTTAAAAGCATTTCCAATCCTCAAGGATTCTTTAAGTTTAGTAGGGTATTAAAGGATTTTACTTTATATAATAAATATAATTTTTATTGTTGTTGACGAAGGATTTCCCGATTTAAAAATAAAATAATTCGACTGGTATCTACTATACGAAACTTGCTTATTTTTAATTTTATCTTATGAGATTAAAAATTACATACAAGAAAAATTACAGGATAGACACTCGCTCATTGATATCACTCCAAAACTTTAAAAAAAAATAAAAAAAATAATTTAAATTATATTTCTGAAATGTATTATATGTAATTTTAATTTCAGAGGAAACAACATTACTTAAATATATTAAATTAAATCCCCAATTATTCCTATGGTATAAGAATGGTAGTAGAGCAGTGAGCAAAAGGTAAAATAAATATGGAAACAATAGAATGCAATAAATATTGAAGAATTGTTTTTTCTTGAAAGATTTCAATGGTAAATTTCAGAAGACCCTACATTGGCAAATAAAGATTGAATTTCAACGATTTTTTAAAAATATTGTATGGAATAAATAAAGCTGTCAAATCAGAGTGTGTATAATCGAACAAAAACTTATAACTTTTTATTTATGCACAAATAAAATTTTCTTTTCTTCAAAACGTTTTTTCATGAGGGAAAATCGAAAGTAATATTCGGCTTAACCATTTGCTTTGATGAAAATACAAACTACTAAGGAAGACATAGCATATCGAGAAAAAAAAAGATGAGAAACAATATATGGAATGATTTTGATTGACGTGAAAGATATGGAAATATTGTAAGGAAGGAAAAATCTGCAGATGCTTTTGGTGTCTATTCTATTGATGAATACTCCGCTTCTATAAATATCACAAAGCAAGAATTTATATCATTTGACAAAGAAAATGTGTCATTAGAGGGTGAAAAAAGAAATTTTGGATTTGGAGTTCAGGCGGATTTGCAGCAAACGAATAAATTTGAGATTCGAGTGTGAGTTCACCGCTCACAGTTTTGAATTTTGTTCACTGAATGTTAGTATTTTAATTCCTAATTTTCGCCGCCAATTGTTGTAATTCTTAATAAGATGGGTAAATCGGATAATATACTTTTTATTCAACATTAGAAAAGTCGTAAACCTATGACTTCCTTTCCTACAGTTTCCTTTAACAATTCTGCATTTATCCCTTTTTAACAAATCCGCTATCTAGGAATCTATGTGGACAAACGTCTAACTTGGAATCCTCATACCCGACTGAAACGACAAGAAACATTTCCGATTACTTTAGCAGCTACTAGACAAACGCTCCAAGCTTCCAATTAATTACAAAAGACTCATATACGTGACTATAATAAGGCCTATTTGGACTTACGGAATTGAGCTATGGGGCGTCACTAAACCATCGAATTCCTATTATATCCAATCCTTACAATCCAAAATCCTCAATGCTCCCTACTTTGTTACAAATAAAACCATCCATAGTGACCTTAATGTTTCCTATGTTTCCGATCTGGCCTAATCCAGATACCTATGCTTCCATAATAAACTTCTGAACCATCCCAACCCTCTCGTTCCCAACCTTGCTTCCTCTTCAATTCCTGATAACCTTCCATGGCGTTTGAAAGGAAGAGGTCCCGTGATCTCATGATGTAGACATATCATTAGAGTTTCACATTTGTGTAGTTACTCAGCAAGTGTTTTCACGTCATTATATCCATATTTTCAAATTTAGTAGATGTATTTCTTTAATACACTTGTAAATATCATTAAAAAAAAAAAAAAAAGAAAGTTAGAAACATTAAATATAGCTTTAGAAACATTTTCAACTTTTCTAACAATAATTATAATATAGTTCGATGTAAGTTTTTTATCAATCGTTAGAACAGTTAGCTTTTTAAGTAGTTCAATGACTTTTCATCTTTATTACTTGTTATTCTGGAATGTATTATATCACGATATTAATCAATAAAAACCGAAATGGTGAACAAATTCGTAAAACAGGTTACATGAAGGTCAAAAGAAATATTTAAAAAAATGAATTTTTAGGCTAAGAATAATTAAGCCATTACAAGAGAAATTAAATTAATTACATCCTTCTTCAAAAACATAGTGTTACTCATACATATTTAAATAATTTTAAGAGTTATTTACAATCGCTACTTAATTATTAGGACGCTGAATTAATGAATGAAAACGTGTTTATTACACGTTTAAAAAATATATACAAAGTAAACTATATATATAAGCAACAAATAGACAATGGAAAATTCCGTCTGTCGAGATCTGTGTGTAATTAATAATAAATATTCATTATACTTATAACTAAAATAAATGAGCAATAATCTACA